AGTCTCTTAACAGTGAATTATTTCTGTGTTGGGCAAGGTAAACTGGGTGTACCGTGGAGACACGTTCGCCCTGCCATCCTATAGCTCTTCACGTAGACACTGACACGTCTCGTGCACATGAGTGGCCCTTGGGTAGCTGGCCAGAGTGGCTCATCAGTCCATCCGTTTTCTCCTTTAATATATTTTCATTTATCTACTCTTAAGTATGCTTATTTTTCCTAGCAATGTTTATCTGGATATTCCTAATTTTCTTGCTGGAAAAATTGGTGACATAGTCTACCATTATAGAAGTAATAACAGTACTAGCCTCTTGTCAGTGGCTGGGCTCCAGGCCTGTTCTCACGCCTGCCCAGGTGGGTGTCAGCAGTGCTGGGAAAGGCCCAAGGTCCAGCCAGTGGTCAGGTGCATTGCATGTTTAAAAGGCTACCCAGTTGATTCTGGTGAAAAGTTGGGGCTCTAATTTTTTTAATGATGTTTTATATTCTTTCCTTTCAACCTTGAAATAATGAAAGTTAAGAGTAAGAAAACAGTTACCTGCTCCAGCCCTACACGTTCAAAGTGATTTACTTAATCCCCAAATAATGTTTTTTTTCTGTCTAGGTCATCAGCTGTTTGCTTGATCAACCCATTAGTAATGCGCCACAGAGTGGGCCTTTGGGATTCCCTTTAGGCCGGCCTGAAGACTGACTTTCAAAATCAGAGTTGGTATACGAATTGCTAGGTGAGGGCTCTGACAAGAAAAGATGGTGTGTGCGTGTGGTCAGGTGTTTGACGAGGCAGCAGCCAGGTGTGTCGCGCACTCGAGCTTTAAGCACTCTGCTGCTTATCGCCTTATCTCTACGACACTTGGTTACTCTGTTTTTGTGAGGAAGGACAGTGGGGACATCTTGTGTCTTCTTCCTTTCACAATGCTGGACTGTCTTTGGGTTTGGTGGCGACGCTCGCAGGTCAGCCTAGTTAAGTTTCACAAGTAGCATAAACGAGTGTTTGTTGTGGCCTTCCATAGCTCTCTCTGCACATCATGTGAAAGAGCAGAACATTTTTTAAAAAACAGCCTCCTTTGTTGGTACATCTGGGTGCCCCTAGGCAGGCCACCGCCCCCCTTGCTTTCCTCCCCAGAGACTCTCCTTTGCGCTGGGCCTCCTGTCCCGCCTGTCAAGTCCTGGGTTCCTGTGGAATTAAGTGGCCAAATTAGAGTTGTGTCAGTTTTCATCACTTGTCTTATATTTACGTGAGGGGACACTGGAGGATGGTGAGCCCCCAGATCCCCTGAGTGAAGCATGTGAAACTGGAGGGCTGGAGGCCACGGATTCGCCTTTATGAGGCAGTGCTGGAAGGTCAGAAATAGGGGAGCCAGGACAGCATGAGCACTTGTGAGGGAGAAACTCAGCAGAAGAGGAGCTGGCCGGGTGTTGTAGCCCTGGGCTAGGAGGGTCTGGTCCCAGCGCCCCAGCCTGGAGCAAAGGCCTGGCTTGGGGGCATGACTGGCACCTGGCTGTGCCCGCTCGCTTCCACCCCTGCACCACCCTTCTCATCGCAAAGCTGCGGTCTGGGCATTGACAGCAGGCGTTGGGGCCAGGTAGGTGCCTGAGGTTTTTGACCTTCGGTGATGCTCACTGGGAATTAGTATATTTGTACCATGTTCTCATTTCAGTCCCTTAATACTAGTAATGGTATTTTTAATAGCAGCAGCCTTTCTTGTCTGGTGAGTTTATGTGAAGATTGAAAACATGCTTGAAGAAATGATTGATTCTGAGATGCTTAAGATTCGGGTTCTGGGAAGCCCAGAGGCAGGCTCTGGTGCTAATGTGCTGCCTTGCTGCTCCTGGCCGGACCCCCAGGCCTCCAGCCACCTCCAGGGGCGCAGGGCACTTCCAATGCTGCTCTTCCACAGTCACCAAAGTCAGCTTGTGCTGAATGTCCTGGTTTTAGATGTTTTTACCATGATCATCCAGCGTTAAACGCAAGAGAGAACCCTAATCCACTGTTCTTGGCCCTGTTCTTGGGCCTCTTGAGCCCTGAAATTCTTTCCCTTCTTGGGACCAGGGCATTCTGATTCATCTGGTCACTGTGGTGTCACCAGTAGGTGTAACTGGCATCCATGCACTGCCAGACACCCTTGACCGAGGTCAGCCTCAGTCTGAAAATACTTTGTGCAAGCGAGAGACACCACACTCCCAGCCTCCTTTATAGTGCATTACTATAATTGTCCTTTTAGTTATTTTTGTTAATCCTGTATGCTGTGCCTAATTTGTAAAAGGAGCCTTCCTGGGTGTTTGTGTACGAGAATGAACCACAGGTTTCAACGCGCCGGTTCCAGGCATCCGTGGAGGGTCCCGCTTGGGGTCGGCCTGTCGTGCTACGTGTACCCAGGGCCTGAGTAGAACCTTTTTGTGTCCTCCCTCACCTGGGCGTCCCTTGGGCTTATTTCTCACTGTGCTCCTGTCAGTGAGATGCTAAGAGGAAACACCACGTGGCTGTTGAAATGCTCTTCCTTCTTTTTAATTCCAAGGAGAAAAAAGAGAGAAAGCCCCTTCAAAGTAGAGTAGAACTTGTGCAGAAGTTAACGCTGTTACACTGAACACAAATAACCTGTGAAGAGAGCGGAGTCGGTCCTGTGTCAGCCTGCGTTATATACAATCTTGGGACACCTGGAATGCTGTCATAGTGAGTTTTAAAGTTTTGCCACTGAAATTCTGCTCTGAACATGGTGCATGCACTGTGGGCAGGATAAACCACTTCTGGGAAATTTGATCTTCGTTATATTTATATTTTTTCCTACAGACTGTGATGACAGTAGCGTAGGCGCCAGTACGTCACCCGATTATCCTTCTCTGGGAGGCCGTGCCTGCCAGCCCCGCCAGCCCCTTACTCTTGCCACTGTCTGTCTGTGGGGAAGGGGCCTGAAGAGTGAGTGGACGCAGGTGCCAAGCATCCCCCACTGCGTTCACTTACCGTCATTTCACTTGACGCTGACTATGGCCCCCAGCGCCTGCCCCCATCTGGGCCTTCCCGTGCCCTTCTAGACAGACCTGTCGAGACAGTATCTCCTTGAGCTGACTTCTCCTGGTGTTGCTTCCGCTGTCTTCCAGTTACTCCTTGTGGTCATTCTGCCTGCTCATCTTTCCCACTGTCACTCGCACTGAGGGTTCTGTCTTGGCTGATACCTTGCAGCTGCCAGCCTTTCCCCCACTCTACCTTGCTCTTTGATAGTGGCCAGCACTGCAGCAGGTGTTGACATTCTCTCCTCAGCCACAGCCTGCATTGTTTCTAGACCTTTCCCTCTTTGGCACAGGGTGACCACCTCAAAGTCAGGAGCTGGGCTATACATTCATCATGTGCCCTGGTCACACTAGCCCCCAATGCGACTGGCCCTCTCTGAAGAGCTCAGAACCTAACCTGGACTCTCCTGCATGCACAGGACTGCTCTGAGCTCAGAGCCAGTCGAGAGACCTGGGCCGCAGAAGGAGCAGTCCGCTATCAGCTGCTGTCACCACGCCTGCTGAGGGGGATATGTGTGTGCAGTTGCCGCAGCCCTGACGTCCTGCAGACTTGAGAGGCATATATTGACGTCGTTATGGATCCTTTAATTTGAAAAGCTAGTAATTGGAAATAAGTTGCTAAATTGATGGACTGTTTGGAACAGTTCTGATAATTAGCGAGAACTTTTAGGAACATCTAGTGCCTAGGTACTGACTTTGTCATAAGAAAACCCTGCAGTAGCTTAAAACACAAGGAAGGAAAAATAATGGTTGTGATTTTAAATATTCATTATAGGGAAGGCTTTTTTAAAAACCCTGTTACCATAGTTACCAAGCAGCTTTCCTATGGTTCTAAGGAAAGTAGACACCATCATTCAGAATGACTCGGAGAAGCGCCTTTGGGGCAGGATAGAGAAGAGGCTCAGGTTGCCCAGGGAAGCAGGACCCAGAGGAGCCCCCTTGATGCCCCTGGGCGCTGGGGCAGGGGCAGGGGCAGGGTTTGAGTGGGAGCGGCAAGGGTGCAGGGTGCGGCCAGCCCACTTAGCTGGTGTCAAAATTGTGTTCAGACTTCAGGCGTGTATTTGCAGTTTCCATGGGTGCTACACCGTGGGTGTAGGGCTCAAATTGTTTTTAATAAAGCAAAATTAGACATTTTCAGTATTTGCAAACACGAGCTGGATCCCATAGGAATGAACTCATGCAAATAAAAATGAGGCTAAATTTTAAAATGTAAGGAAGCTGGACGCAGCCATTTCTGTACCGGAAGGAGAAAGCATTTATCCTTGTATTTGTGTCTTTGACTAGTGGTTGAAGAGTCTAAAGAGTTTTTGATAGTTCATGGATTTAGGGTTGAGCTTAAGTGTTCTCTCATCTGTTACTAAAAGATTATTTTACCTGGAGGCTTGTAGGCTGCTGGGTCACAGCTGGTGATGGGGAGGGATCCCTGTCAGAACCACCAGTGTGACTTAGGTTATGCGGAGGAATTAGATTGAAGGAGTGAGGAGTTGAGTCGGAGAGGGTTGGCGGGGTGACAGGTGCGCCAGCGATGCCAGTGAGCTCCATGATGGAAAGGAAAGGGCATGGGGAGCTGTGGGGGGCAGGGTGGGGTGAAGCCTAGAGAGTGGTTTTGTCTCCTGCAGTCAGGGCCCCTGTCATGGGGGGGAGGGGGTGCTCAAAGTCTGTGAGCAGATGTCTTTGGTGCCTCATGTCAGGGCTGCTGCTTATAGCTGTGCCCTGGCCAGTCCTCGGGCTGCCCTCCCCGCTGATCACGGCCGCTCCTGCCCTCTGGTCCTCTCGCTTTGCTCTGTGCATTTCAAAATTAAGTAATCATCAGATTTAGGTCGAATGGGTGTCATCACAGAACAGATGCCTCCAGCTGATTTCTAACTCCTGTTTAGCCTCTCACGTGTCTGGAAAAGATGGAACTGAAGCCGGTAAAGGTTTCTCAGTGGAAGCCGTGTGTTCGCAGTATCAAGTGACGGGCACCATGCACCAAAATGACCTGTGTTTGCTTCCCAGGTGGACGTGGGAGTGGTGCACTTCACCCCCCTGGTGCAGCCCCGGATCCAGCAGCCCTTCAGGCTGGTAGAGAAAGTCATTCGTAATGCGTTTCAGTTCCGAAGAAAATACTGCCACCGAGGATTGGGGTAAGACGCCTCCTACTCCCTCAGTGCTGCTGTGCAGGTTTCTCAGTCATCTCTAAAGATGAGGAACTTTGCTTCTGTTACCCTGCTTTAGTCTGTGTTACTCTCCGCTCCAACCCTGTGAGCAGCAGCCTTTACTGCCACTGAGGGAGAGCACAGCCTCAGCCTGCCCGATGCCCCTTCCAGGTGGTGGCTGGTCTTATCTAAGTGCAAGCTAAAAGTGACAGTCGCGCGCAGTTTATGATGAGCCTGTGGGGACATGATTTCTCAACCAGGACGCGAGCTGTGTTTACTCTGGACCTGTGCAGGGCTTGGCGCCAGCCAGTTCTCTGCGCATTGCCATGGGCTCTGGAGCACCTCTGAGATGTGAGAAAAGAAATTCGATTCCAGGTGTGGCTTTGCAGTATTTCAATCAGCAGCTTGCCTATTCATTTTTAAATAATAGTCCAGTTTAGTTAGATGAAATTGGAAGTGTCTTTGAGCCCATATTTGATGTTTCAGAATCTCTTAAGAGGAAAGTAACTATTTTCACATCAGCTGTTTCTAACTTTGCAAAGAAAGGTATTTCTCTTGGAGTAGAAAATTTTAAAGGATAATTAAGTTACAGAGAATCAGAACTGTTGATATATGACACAAGAAATATTAGACTACTTTCCTACAGATCTTCCTCAACTTACAGTGGGATTGCAGCCCCCAAACCCCATGTAGGCTGCACTTAATAGCGACCATGCACAGCCCAGCTCACCTTGTATGTGCTCCGAACACTCGGCCTGCAGTTGGGCAGTGACATGTCAGATGCCTCTAACATGTTGATGCAGAAGGCGAACAGTGTTAGGTCGGCCCTCATTGCTAACGCATGTGACTGGGTGCGCCCTAGGCCTAAAGGACGTTCGGAGCCTCGAACTAATTTTTGGATGCAGCCCCGGGGTCCTCAGTGTCTCTCCTGATAAAGTGTGAGATTGCTGACAGGAGACCCCATAGGTCACCATCTGTTCCCCCTCAGAGGCACGTGGGATTGGGAGCCGGGACCACCATGTGGCCCAACATCATGGCCTGGGGAAAGATAAAAGCTCCAACTTGTTCACAGTTTCTTCTGAGTGCACATAACCTTCACACCATCACAGAGTCAGAACATCCCGAAATAGGGAACATCTGTATTAAAATCAGCAAAGCAAGCGTCTATGTTGCAAGCAAGCTGCTGAGCACTTCAGAGTTGCCTTAAAGACACATGCATGGATAAAGCTCTGAAAACTACTTTGCCTGTGGGCGCACTTGGGGTCCAGGGACGCTGCCTCGGGGCTCCACCTCTCAGGTGCTCACATTGTCACCAGCAGTGTCGTTTGCAAAGGAGGGTAGAGGAAGCATGATGTGAAGAATTTCTTAAGTAAAACTGTTTTCTCTTTCCCTCAGAATGTTATTCCCTGAAGCTCAGCGCTTAGAAAACACTGGAAAACTATTAGAGCTGGCAGAGGTGAACCCTACCCTCCGACCTGGCCAGCTCTCTGTCTCGCATTTTAAGAGTCTCTGCGATGTGTACCGGAAAATGTGTGATGAAGACCCCCACATCTTTGCTTATAATTTCAGAGATGAGCTCAAGCAAAATAAAAGCAAAAATCAGGAGAGAGGATGAAAATCAGGAGAGAGGATGACGAGGAGAGAGACAGCCACTAGCGCCGCCTCACTGTTCAGGTGCCTGCCTTTGTTTTCCACGAATAACACACGAACCAGTTGCCAGATGTGAGTCATGTCCCGTTTACTGTACAGCTTGGTAGAGAAAATAAATATAATCAAGATACAGTACAAGCTTTCTTTTAATATGTATACTGCATAGATAGGACGTGTTTCGTATAAACAGCATCTATTACAACCTTAAAAAATGAAGTACCTGCACCCTCACCCACAATTAAATAACTTAAGGATGCTTTAAATAAAGCAAAAACTGGCAGCTCAAAGACAATGCCCAGAGGGTTGAAAGAAATGACCTTTTAGAAAGCTCTTAACCACAGCTTCCCACCTTAGCTTTTCAACATAAATTAAAATAATTAGAACACAACTTTATTTTAAGGGCTCTAAGTCATTTTTGATACCTGCTCAAAAGGGATGTAAACTAGGTAATTTACAGATTCTGACCAGTTTAATCTAGTTTCCTGATCCATAATAAATTAAAATAACTTAAATCTTTACAATGATTTTGTGGGAAAATGTCTACTGCGCAAGACCCAGTAATGAGTCACTTTCCAGCAATTTCCACTTGGCCACCAGTTTGAACAAGTCAACCCCGATCTGGATTGCAGGTGGACTGTGACTTCCCGTGGCTCTCTGTTTCATAAAAACACTCCTCGTTGACCACCGATGTCAAACTCTGGACACTGAACTCTCGCTCTAGGACAGAACTGAAATCAAGGCTGGCGCTCTCAGAGGGACTGTCGAGGGACTGGTGACGCAGCTGCGCCTTGAGCAGAGCCCCCCTGTCTCTCTTGGTGCTGTTTGCTCTCCGCTTGAGGGGACAGAAGCGTCCCCGCACCAGTTTGGGCTGCTGTCCTGCCGTTGGCCCCTCGGTGCTCGGCTGCGATTCGGCCGACACAGTGTCAGGCCCCTCGGAGATCCTCAGCCTCTGGAACTGAAGCTCGATGTCTCCGGTCGGGCTGCACTGTTTCAGAGCCTGAGGTCCGTCCTCGTCCTCGTCACTCAGGATATCGCTCTCTTTGATGAGGCTGTCTGCGAAGTCGGCCACGTCCGCAGGCGTGTGTTTCAGGGAGTCCGGCCTGCTCCCAGCCGTGTGGCAGCTGCTGCCCAGGCTGCCCTCGTCGGAGTCCAGCGAGCTGCCCTTCCCAGGCTCGCCAGGCCACTCGCCGCTGGAGGAATTTTTGAGAACTTTTAAGGACCTGGATGAAGCTGCAGAGAGGAAAACACATGTCCCCTTAGAGAAAGCAACAGACGCAAGGTGCTGTTTCTACATTATAGCCTATAAGATGTAAAACCTCATGGTTTACCTCACTTCAGTTACTATGCTGGGGCTTAAAAAGAAGTAGGAAATGTTTTACTTACATTTCAAGTGGGGGAATTTGGCTTTTTCTGATGACTAGTTGCCAGTTAGAACAGTAAGTTATGCACTGTCGTAAGACCTAGGACCCTACTTTGCCAGTGAATAAATTGAAAAGGTAATTACTAATCTAAGCTAAGTTCCCATTTTACATTAAAGTACTTTATGATCTATATGATCTATTTTGATGACCAACTTACACCAGATTTCTATGCATATTTTGTCATTGCTCAAGTAAAAGTAGAAAGAGGGTCTTTATTATGATCCCTGAGAGAACTGTTTCTCCTGGAATTTCTAAGTAACTTTCAGGTACTTAGTATGACAAGCTGAACATTTGTGTGTTTAATTCCTTACTCTTGGATAGAAGGGAAAGAGGTCTCTTGTGTTTCTGCAGACGTTAGCAGCATTTTTTGAGGGCCATGCTGTAAATTCAAAGTCAAATTTTGACCAAAACAAAGTTCTAAAAACCTCAGCTGAAGTTTTAAAAACCAGATGGTAAGTTTAGGAACAGCGTGATGTGGCGTGTTCACTTGCCACTTACTAAACGAGCCCACTAAGTATTGACTGTGGGCCCGTCGGGTGCCGGGCAGGCCGCAGTGTGCCCGGCAGGCCGCAGTGTGCCCGGCGAGCCCCGTGCCCCGAGGCCTCTCGGCAGGGGACGATCGTATTTTGTAAAAGCAGACTGGGAGCAAGAGGCATGTTGAGGCTTCTGAAAGGGCAGTGAGTCTCTACCTGGTTCTCACGTTGCTCTCCGCACTGGGATGTCTGGTTTAGAGTCTGTAAATGGTCGGGGTGGCTCTGTGCAGTAACTAAGAGAATGTGTTACGAGAGTATGGAGTTCTTTAGAGAAGCTTGTGTTTCCCTGAAGGTACACAAGGCCAGCAAGGTTCTCACCTAATTTGGCTGAAATAGGGACGCGGTTCTTCAGGGGGACCAGGCGATCTTTACATGTTTTCTCCAGTGGTAACTCGCTCTTTATGTGGCGCCTGAAGTTTTCCCTCAGAACAGATCGAATCACCTTGACAATGTTTGTTTTGCTTTCGCTGTCACTGCAGGGGAAGAAATCAGCCATAGTGTCCAGAGTGTCATCATCATACCCCAGTTCCGAGTCCCTTTTCTCAGAGAACCTAATTCTGTCTTAGCCCAGTGGCTTTAATTTGGAAAAATTGGTAATACCTGCAGCTCAACTGAAAGATGGTCTCTGGCCGGCCTTCTATCTCTGATTTCGTATGGATCAGCTCCCATATGGAATTATTTTCTGTCCCTGTGTTAAAGGAAACAAGGATGCTCTAGGTAAGGACACCTGTGAAGTTCAAAACTCATGACTAATGACTTTAATATTCCCAATCCTGAATCTCCTTGTTTTCTCCTGTGGCTGGTTCTGTGCTTAACTGTCACAAACAGCATCTTGCAGTTGCTGCTCAAGGTCTCCACCCACCTCAGTGCTTTCACCCCAGGACTCCCCTGGGAGTGCAGTACTCTGTGCTTCGGAAGGCGGTCGGGTGCGGTCAGCACGGTGAAGGCCCCGATGTTGTAGCGTTCTGTTTTCCAGGATGGAAGACTTTAGGCTTTATATCACTTACGATACTGCTTAATGTAAAGGAATTTTCTGGCATACTTTAATTTGTAAAAATGTAAATGCTGGGACTTTAACATACTTTCAGGTTTCAGTCAAGGACATTAGGCAGAAAGACAAATGTTCATGGTGAAGGTAAGGGAACAATATGGCCGAGAAAAACTATCCCTCTTGGCATTCGCCTTGTGCAAGTCTGCAAAGAAATCTCAGAACCGCCTCTCATCCCTGTCTCTAAAACACCAAAAAGTATCCCAAGGTGCTTTCCTATCTTGTCATTCCATGATTCAAGTCACTTAAAAGTGCTTTTTCTGGCATTGTACCACGCAAAACAGTTACCTGCTGTATTCCCCAGCCTGACTTGAAGTGCGGATACGGGGATCAGCCAGCGAAATTTGAATGGGTCCAAGTCAGTAGAGCTGTGCGCAGGCCGCGAGTTGGAGGGCTGTAATGGGAAACCCCCGAGAAGAGTGTTACACGGAGCACGTGTGGACGGTACGGAGTGTGCGGGAGGGAAGGAGTCAGGGCAGAGTTGTGGTGGGAGGAGCGGAGAGCTCCAGGCGCAAGCAGGAATGAGCCCTCCTCGCTTGCGCCTCCGGTAGCCACGACTGAGTGTTGCTCTGTGTTTTTTTTTTTTTTTTTTTTGAGTGAAGGTACAGGGCATTTGAAAACTAACTGAAGCTATGGGGCCTGAGGCATATGGAGCAAAATGAGCCATTTTTAGGGATGTAAAATCTTTTTTCTGTGTTGTTGGCCTTAGCGTGGGTATTTATCTATATCTTCTTTAAAATGAGAACTTTTGGGGCAGAAAAAGAAACACTTTGCTGACGTGATTAGGCTCCTCACCCCGGGAACAATCACTACCAGTCAGTGAGGCTCAGCTCACATTATGAAGAAGATAAAGCCAGGAAAAGGTAGCTGTAATTAAAAGTAATTGTGATCTTACCAATTTCTTTTTCAGTTTGCAGTTTTCTTTATACACCAATATGACAGCTCTTTTAAAAACTATAGAAAGGAAGAGAAAGAAAAGTCTTTAATGACTATACAAATTGTCTTCCAGGGTTTAACAAAGCTCTTAAGAGCCCACTATGCAAGCCCATGAATGACTAAAACTTCCTTCTGTCCATATTTGTATCACACACAAGTACCTGCGTATTTAAAAGCTATGATCTGAAGTTGATCCTGAATTTAAATTCTGCCTTCTTGCATTGAAATCTAGAACATGGTGTTCCTCAGTGAGTTCGAAGTGCAGCAGACTTTTAAGATAGCAGGTTTCAAAATAGCCTTGGGGGATCTGTTCCTGTGACACTTGGCAAGAACCATTAAGCCAGGCACAGAAGGAAGCACGGCATGATGAGTGTGCAGAGCACAGTTTTAAATAGCTAGAGGCTGTCTGCTAAGTCAGAAGCCATTACCGCCGCGGCCCGCTCCGCCTGGCAGTCAGGAGTCGCCAGCCTGCTGGGCTTGGCACATTCCTTTAAGTTGAGGTTCTCCCAAATGGATTACTCACCAAACACCGTGAGCTCAAGGTCCCTTCTGGCCTTTCCCAGCGACAGGAATGGGTTCAGCCAGGACACTGTGGAGTGCATCAGAAGCTCCCCCATGGACAGTTCTGTCACCTGCATTGTAAGGAGAGATGTGGAGGCCCCAGGGGAGGCGGCCTCAAGTTGAACAGTGAAGCGCATCCTACCGTTAGTTATTTCTAAAAGCATGCCCACTCCATTTGATTTTTATAGCCCTGAAACCTGGAGTTTAAATAGTAGACTTTGGAAATTCAAGCTAAGCATCGCCTAAATGTGGAAGCATTTTGTTTCTGTGTCTACACTGCCCCCGGTGAGGCAGCCCCTGCCCCGGAAGCTGCCCTCCTGACAGGCAGCACCAAGGAGCTGTACTCTGTTCCCCCAGGAAGACCCTGACTCCTACACGAGCTGGGCCTGCTGCTCTACACTGACTGATAAAAAATGGAGATTGAGTCTGTCAAAAAGGAAGAAGCAGAAACTGTCGCACTCCACCTCAGATGGTAGCCACCTGAACTCACCCCACTTCCTGCACCTTTCCTGCCTGGGTGAACCCCCATTCCTCTTCGAGCCTCGGATAGGTCTGACCACCATGTCCAAGAACGGGCAGGAATATGCACTCAGTGGTATTTCTTACTGGGTACAGTGTTGGCATAGATTACATGACCACAGTCACGCCTAAGTTGCCGTTTGTGTAGTGTAGTATATGTATTATCTTTTAAGATGTTAAAAGAAGGTCTCAGCCTTTTCTCCTTCAGGAGACCCTTTTTTGAGAGTGGGGAGCAGGGAGCACACAGCAGCTGACATCCCTCTACCCCGTGTCCCACCGACCTCCTTCTCTGGCCCGCTCTGCTCTGCTACCAGCTGGTCAAACACGGTCCCGTAGTCCTCGTAGATCTTCTGCATCTCGTTGATGTGGCTTGCGACTTTTTCCATGGCTTTTAGTGCTTCTGCAAAATAAGAAATTACATTTTACACTTACTTTTTTCCAGTGGACTGCACACACAACCAACAGCTTCACAGATATACTGGTGAGTTAAAGCTAGGAAAGTGAAGGAAATGATACACACTTCACTTTCATGCTGCTACCCCAGACGGCAGATCAGCAGTCTGTGATATTGGCTTCAGCCATGTTTTCATAAAGGAAATTATTAGTAGGTGGCTCTCCCCGCCCATCACTACCTAGGGGCGGCCCACTCTCACAGCCTCATGTGTATGTGTGTGAGAGAGATCGGTTCCTGCTGTTGCACTGTTAGCTCACATGACTCACGTCAAACACTATTTGAATATCCGTGAATGATGTCACTGTGTGGTGTGATCTGTCAACTTGTTTCTCTTTTTCATTCAGTTACTGTTTTTGAAATATTTCTATGTGGACACATCATTTTTTGTTTCAATCCTATCCAAAAGCAGTAGCTAAAAAGCTCAAATTCAAATCCGTTCTTACAAACAGCCCCTTATAACCTAGCCAGTGCCATGAAGAGCAGTAGAATTTGCTTTCACTAAAATTCTCTGCGAAAAGCAGCAGAGTAGACGAAGTGTTACCACTGACCATCACGCTGACATTTATTGGCACGTACTACGCTGGATGACTGATGTGAATCGCCACATTCAGTCCCGTCTAATTGGGGGACTCTGGGAACCACAACATTCTGAGGAAACAGGTGTAGACGGGTACAGCGTGTTAACTAGACTTCCGACGAGAGAAAATGATAGAACTAGAATTCAAAGCCCAGACACCTGCTGCCTGCTGGGCCAGTTCCCAGAGGCTCTGGTATGTAGAACATGGCTAGCCAGGACTGGGAAGGGCCTGCAGGAGCTTAGCATGGGAGCAACTGTTTGCATATGCGTCCATTTATTTCAGACTGCACGTGAGGGACTCAATGATTTGCCTAAAGTCAGCATTTCAGCTCACCTGCAAATTCAGTGTATTTCATACTTTGCTCTCCTGACTCAGCATTTTGTTAGTTCTGCAAGGCAGTCATTTAACTTAACCTCTTACAGCAAAATGAACTTTTCACACAGTATTTAAATACAAGCCATCATTTCTATCATCAAGGAATTTCATACAAAAGACTTTCGACCACTGATTCAGGAAAAGTTTTTTGTCAAGATATTGTATTAACTGGCATGTTAGCTGACAGCCTGCTTTCCATTGGGGCGCTCGGTTACACAGAGCAGCCCTTTCAGGGATACTGTGTACTACCAGAGTGAAGGGCTTTGTGTATTTCACAAATTCTATTTTAGGGCAATAATTTCCATCTTGACAAAAGACTCCGCACCCCTTCCCTGACACCTGACGGCCCTGTCCGCCCTCCGGCTGGGCTTCTCAGCGGGCACTGCTCAGAGACTTCCACCAGGTGGCGCCCATCCAGCCTGCTGATCTGCAGCTTCACTGCTCTGGACAAGCCCAAGCCTCAGGGTAAGGAACAGGCCTAGCCGCAGCTCTCTCTTGGCACTGTCGGCTCACCAAGTATCCTGAAGTGGCATATTTCAGCTCGCTGGGCTTGAATAACCTCCTTGGCAAAATAAACACTGAATCATGCCTTCAGGGGGCCTTGGAGCTGGGCCAGTGAGGTCATTTTTGCCCACCCAAAGGGATGGCCCTATTCATGTGCTGCTTTCACCGGTAGCTTAGACCGGCGGTCCCAGACGGGCAGTACTTCAGGGTGCGAGGAGCAGGGGCTGGCTGGCGCAGGTGGGCGGCTACCCACCGCTGTCCCCTTCTCACCTGTCAGGTGGTAGTGCTCCTCGCTGTCGGGGTCCATCAGGGACACGAGCTCCTTGAGCAGCAGCGGGTACTTGAGCACTCTCTGCACCGGCTTGATGAGGTACGACTCCAGCGTGGAGGAGTGCTGCTTGGTGGGGTTCCGGGCATCCAGGAAAGCCTTGAAGGCTCGATCAGTTTTAGCTGTGAACAGATGGATAACAAAGGCACTTGAGCCCAGCATGGCGTGGGTCTGGTCCGCAGGGTGAATTAAATTCTACACTGTGTCATCTTCAATGCATTGCTAGGTCACCAGCCCCGGTGCTCCTCCCACTGTCGCCCTGCAGTAGAAAGCCAGGTCCACACAGGGCATAGCACCTGCGTGCCGCCCGCACCTCGGCCCTGCGGACGCTGCACCTGGGAAGAGCACGGGCTCAGCCACAGCCTGAGGGGAAGAGCGCAACCACCCACCCCAGTGCCTTTCAGATGCTCGGCACCCCACAGCGCGGAGACCCAGCCCTCCCAGGCCCCCAGTCAGCTTGCTAAGGCGCCAGAAGCCGGGGTTTATCCCACTGTCTTAGCAGAAACTGTGCAATTTTGCAAACTTAAAACGTATTTTGTAAACTTGAAAGGGCTATTCGTAAAGAACTATTTTTTTTTCTCTTGAAAAGAAGTCGGTGGGCCTGCAGCCTGCGCCCCTCTGGTGTCTGCCTGTGGAGAGGGAGCTCGCACGTGCCGGGGCTGAGTTTCGCCGGCTGCCCCAGCTGCTGCTGTGGATGCCTCCTACTGGCCAGATGTGCCCATTTGAATACAGAGACCCCTGACGGAGTTTTGTTACACGAGCAGAATC